GGTGATTGACTTTTGCAAAATAATAATATGTGGTATTTTTGTGTGAGTGGGCAATAACTGCTACACATCAGTGTGCAATGCTTTGTGTGTGTGTGATGTTATCAACGCCTGGCGCTTTGTTGGTGGGGCCCTTCTTTATAACATGTTGGGTTTCACTCAGCAGTGTTGATGGTTCTGGAGTGGTTTCTGTCAGTAAGAAGCTATTTGGTGTTGTTTCTCCTGTAGGGTTCAGCAGCTCCTGGAAATAGCGTTTCCATCTTTCCTTAATCTTTGGCTTTCTGAAAATAGGGTTTCCGTTCTCATCATTGACAATTTCAGTTGAGTTGAATGGTTCTTCCCACATCCTCATACTTTTAACGCTCTTGTAAAACTCTCTGGGGTCTTCTTTACATTTTGTTACCAGCTGTTCTTCATATACTGTCCAGGATCTGTCCTTAGCTTCTTGCACTACGCTTGTTGTTTGGCGGCGCTCCTTCCTATATAGGATGTGATCTTCCTCTGTCTTTGATTTCTACCACTTTGTGAATGCCTTTTCCTTCAGTTTGATGGCTTCCTTTACTTGGTCATTCCACCGTATAGTTGTTTTCCTTTTCTGCCCTCCTGTTTTCCTGGTGCCACACTCTTCTTTTAATGCTCTGTTCACACGTGCTTTGAAGTGGCTCCATTCCTCTTCAATGTCTCCCGGTTGTTTGGGCAATTTGTGAAATACGTGTGTCATACGTTCATGTATCTTATCTTTGGTATCGTCATTTATGTGTCTGGGAATCACTTCTTCTCGTCGTTTCCTTGCTTCTGGTCTTTTCCTGTTTGGTGTGTCGATAGTCATGATGACTGGTCTGTGGTCAGTGCCTGTGATGTAGTCGGGTATCACTCATGAGTCTCTGATGTTTCTCAGTTTCGATCTTTAGGAAAGGATATAATCAATTTGAGATGCTGTCTTTTGGTCATTCCATTTGTACCAAGTTTCAACTTGACCCCTTTTGTGTTGGAAGAAGGAGGTATTTGATATGACGAGGCCATATTCTGCGCATAACTGTAATAGCATTTGTCCATTGCTGTTTTGATCTGTTTCTCTGTCACTGTGTGGTCCCATGTATCTCTCTCGCGTCGGCTTCCTAGTTCCCACTCTGCCGTTAAAGTCCCCCATGATTGTCACATTGTCTTTGTCATCCACGGTGTTTAAAAGCTCACTCAGTTGATCATAGACCTATTGTCGCTTTTCTTCAGGGTATGAGTCATTGCATGGTGCATATATCTGTGTATAGATAGATAGATAGATAGATAGATAGATAGATAGATAGATAGATAGATAGATACTTTACATCTGTTACGCATTTTGCTCTTCCTGGGTGAACAATAAATACCCACTCCATGTTTTGCGCTCTCCATTCCTTTCGTTCCGCTCCAAAGTAAGATGTAGTTCCTGTACCTGTTTGCTGTTGGGCTTCCTTTTCCTGACATTGACATCAGCAATACCCAGGATCTCAATCGCTCTAGCTTCCATGAAATCAATGAATTGTGGTTTCTTGTCTCCTAACCCGCATACATTCCATGTTCCAATTATCGTTGTTGTATCTCGTGTCCGTTTTACTTTTCTATTCCTTTTTCCGTTACAGTATGTCCGTTTCCTTTCCTCCTTTCTTTTGTTTTTAGCAGTTTTTAAAAAAATCTATTACAGGCTTGCTAGGCCCGTGGTAGATTTACCAGAGCCCCGACGGCTGGCCAGCGACGTTTCAGGGTGACCCGGGTTGACCTTCACGGCTAGCGTAGCGCCTCCGTGGCAAAAAGTCCCACCGCACTTCACCCAAACTCAGCAATCCCCTACGTTGTCCTGTTTCCGTCTCCCTCGGCGTGGACGGGGGGTTGGATTTTGTCACACTCCTAATAACCTTATCCAATATTAGCTACAGGTAGAAAACTCAACTCACATCCTCCTCCTCCTCCTTTTCCTCCTCCTTTTCCTCCTCCTCCTCCTCCTCTTGTTCTTCTTCTTCTTATGCTTCTTCTTCTTGTCCTTCTAATCTTCCATCTCCTCCTACTCTTTCTTCTATCCTTCTCCTCCTTTCTCACCTCCTTCTGAAGAGCAGGAGGAAAAGGAGAAGTGTTGGTGGATCGACCGGGGAGGTAGGATGTATAGTGGGAAGGGGGGGCAGGTTGAAATGAGCGTTACTGCTTCACGTTAAATAAATTCACTAAGGGGTTTACCAGTACTCCCTCCAGGCTTTGGCCTATATCGGCCGGACTTCTGGAGTGAGGCAATGTCAGTAACCGTGTTTCTCCATCCATCTCGAAGCGACAATTGACAGGCGCCCCAGAACTTCCAACACAAGTCGGAAGAGAGTACTTGGCTTTATAGAACACACTACAACGTTGGCCTAAGATTCCAAATTCTAGCTCAAGCTTCTTGGAGATGATTTCCTTATCCAATTCCCACTGTCGCTTGACGAAATTGTCCTGAAAGTTTTGGTCAGAAACCGACTGGGGGATTTGGATGTTTTCGGAAGCTTCTGGTGCACTGTTTGCTGCGGCAGCTTGTGGGGCGGTCGCCGGGTTACTCTCTCCCAGAATGTACTCGTTGTCTTCAAACATCTCCAAGAATGTTTCAGTTGTCACTCTTAGACGGTCCTTGAGCTGCTCATTGATGTCCATCACTTCGTCGTCGCTGGGGCATTTTAAAAGACCTTTGTTGACGAGATGCTTCATTATAATCCTCCTCTGCTCTGACGGGGAAATTCCCAGACGGGAAGTTTCAGTGATAGTATTCGTGAGCTTAGAGCAATACATAGTGTAGTAGAGAACTTTCTTTTCTTCGAATAGTAAAAGAGATGTTTCAATGTCACTCAAAAACGGAAGAAAGTCATCACGCAAGCCAGGATTTAGATCAAGTCCCTCCAATTCTTTCTTTGTTTTCAGTGACCCAAAGGTGACCCTCTTGGCAACGCCATGCGGGTGCGACACGCAGATAGCAAGGTTAGAAATCGGACCCAAATCCACGTTAAACGGTCTAATACGTTCCTTTAAATCCGGAAAGTGACGTCTACTGAGCTGAGCATAAAACACCATCTTATCCCTTTCTTCCATCCTCATCCGTTGCCTGTCTCCCCTAGCTCGAATGACGCTGGATCTGTCTGAATCTCTGTCGTAAAACAACTCCACGGTTGTTTCTTTGATTTCCTCTTCATCATATACCACGTGAACAGCTGTGGTAACGATTATCTCTATTTGATCGCTTTTAGAGTCTTGTTGGTACCTCATGTAAACCTCCCCACTTCCACAGCGGGGCGTCTTCTTTCCTTTCAAGGTCGTCCAGCCGAATTCATCCGGCCTGTCTGGTGACGTATAACGAACGATCAGTTTCACGGTGCGATTGGCTAAACACTTGACGTACTCCAGAATGTCTGGGCGTCTATACCCCTCAGGAAGGCGCTGCAAATCTAGGTCATGCAGAGGAATGAAGTCGTGGTGGCCTGGGTATTTCTTGCACTTCTTGAGGAGCAGTTGGTCAAATCCTTCTCCCTGGGCCCCTTCGAGGGCCAAATCCATTTCGCATGCTGCGCCTACGAAAGTATACAACAAAGAAGTTTGGTGGGGGGGGGGTTTATAGTAGAGGGTTTTACGGCGCTCGCAACTGCATAAGGTCATACGAGCGCCAAGGGGTGGGTGT